ATCTTCTGAATGATCGGACAGGAACTCCTTGCCGATTACGGCCTCTCAGCAAGTCGGCCCTGTTTGTTTGTTTCGAATTTATTTGTTTTACACTATAGAATTGCTCAATAAGCCCTATATACTTAGAGACAGACTAGCTGAAGCTACTGGGATCTTTATAACGATTTTGAGGAGGACAATTTTTTTTTAAATTGATCTCAAAATCGGCACAAAAACAACGTCTTTCGCGACAGTATTTACATTTTGGGCCCACGGTGACGTCACAGTCGGAACAACAAACGACATCCGCAAAGAGCAGCTGCGCGTGGGTCAACCTTGTATTAATTCAACCATGGTTGCAGTCATGGTTGAATTAATACAAGGTTGACCCACGCGCAGCTGTTCCTTGCGGATGTCGTTTGTTGTTTTGTGACGTCACTTTGACAAAATGTAAATATTGTCGTGATAGACGTTGTTTTTTATCAACTCTGACAGCACTTTATAAAAAATTTACCACCTCAAAATCTTTCAAAAACTCCAGCCTCATGCTGCCTCTCTAAGCATATAGCTCTTAAGGAGCAATTTTATCGTGTGAAATAAATATAAATTGGAAAGTAACCAACGGGGCCGAAAGCGACTTGCTGTCGCTGAGAGGCCATAATGGATGCCTCTAGATCATTCAAACGATGATCAGAAAAAATACAGCTCTCTCCTCAACGAATCCCGGTTGTGTCAAGTGAGTTGATTTTTACATATCACTAATTAATTACGGTAATTCAATCATGGTCATGGTTGCAGTGGTAAAAATTTCGAGGTTCATTGAGATTCAACCATGTAATTTAAACTAACAATTTCGTGGACTATTTTTTGACTATTAGACTCAATGCGTCATCCCCTAGGCTTGTGTTCCTCAAACAACACTGTCATGCTTCCATGTATCAATATTTTGCCTCCATGCATCAATTTAAAGATATTTAATTCCTTCCGTTTTTTTGTGGCCGTTTTACTATCAAGTATGGGTTGGTTAAATAGTGACTCGTCGTAAGCCCTTAATTCTTTTACCAGTGAACGATTACGCAGGACGTCATGGAAACACGGCGAATATATATAAGAAGCACATTTATAGGTCAGACGCAGACACAATATTAGTCACCCGTGGTGCTAACGCCTCTATTGGAAGATAAAGGCGCTTGCGTCACCACTTTACCTATCCCGTTTATTTTGCTTGGAGACATCCTTTGATGTCCCGCATGATCATCATTCCTCTCAGAAAATTTTCTCCCAGGTCGACTAAACTCGGTAATATTTCTAAATCACTTTTTCGGAGGGAAGTATTGTTGCCGAAAGCGACTCCACATATTCATTTTCTCCATAGTTGAACTACATAAGGTTGACCCACGAGAAGTTCTGACATGGTTGAACTACTAGTTCAACTATGATTTTCTTTACGTATAGAAAGATAAAGTCGCTGCCCTTTAGAAGGAAACTCGCTAATTAAAATAAAAGTGTTATTGCAGCGTTCTTGCGGAGACTGACATATGTAACGCTGTCACTCACATGCTCAACTGGAGGCCACACTTGGCAAACCGTAATAGTGATTTAGTAATCAAAACTGTTAATAAACGACAGTTCAACTCCTTAGGTCAAATAGCAAGAAATTTTCACTAAAACAACAAATTTACATTTTAACCAACAATATGTCAAAATATACTACAGCAAGATCGTCAAGCAATTTAAATTAGAGCTGCTGCTCTCCCCTCGGGAATTTTCTTATGATAACATCTCGGTAAGCTGGTTAATCATGCAAGATTTGCTTTTAGATTATTCCCTGCGTACAGATGAGATCTGGGGATGATACAAGCTTTCTTTATAAAGTCATTAGTCTCTTCTGCCAAAGGTTGAAACTTACATTCGGGTCAGGTCAAATCGAAAGATCCGACATTAAATATTCGCCTCGTCACACCACTCCACTCGTGACTACAGCCATGACAACACGTCGCTGCCCCGTCACACCACTCCACTCGACGTCTCGGACAAAAACGCGGCCTGTCTCACGGCCGGTCTCGCGAACTCGTGACAGTTGCCCGGACAACACGTCGCTGCCTCATCACATCACTCCACTCGTGACAGTTGCCCGGACAACACGTCGCTGCCTCGTCACATCACTTCACTCGTGACAGTTGCCAGGACAACACGTCGCTGCCTCGTACACTCCACTCGTGACAGTTGCCAGGACAACACGTCGCTGCCTCGTCACACCACTCCACTCTTGACGGTTGCTCTGACAACATCTCTTGTCGCTCATTGCGTGGTCGCGGACACTACCAAAGGAGTCTGTTAGCTCCAGAGGAGTCTGTCAGCTCCTGCTGTTCTCGGCGCAATTTGGCACCGGAGAAGCACCCCCCTTGCAGTTCACGTGAGGCTAATTGCACTTGCCAGCAAATTAGTTATTTTCATGCTCATTTTAACGCTATCCCTCTTTGAATCCTTTTAATTTGTATCACAAATGTTCCTTGATTTTTCACCTGCTTTCAACGATATGACAACGGACGATAATAATGTAAGGTTTTTAGCTTGAAAAAAAAAAAACTAAGGATTGCTTAGCTGACACCAAGATTGTATTTTTTTATCAACCTCTTTTTCAGTGAGTTTTCACTAAAATGAAGTCAAAGACTGTGTTTGGTGAGGAACCATCACTCACACAGTGAATAATTATAATTGGGAATAATAATTCTGGAAATAATTTGGCACTTTAGAAAATATTTTAATAATACTTATTTAAACCTCATAATGAGAACTGCATCAAAAATCATTCAATGTGTTAACGTAAATGTAGGTATACCGTATAAAATGTTTTTCAGTACCGGGTATCTGCTGGAGGTTCAACATTTTAATTCATATTCTCGCATCGGTTACGCAAGTGTGTATAGTCACGTACATTTAAGTTCAGCAGCACAATATTGCCTTATGTTTTTCAGATATTGGTGACATTTATAAACATGCACATTAAAAATTTATCCTAATCAATTCATAATGATTCAAGCCGACGATTGTTCGTAATACTCGCAATTGACCCACGTATGAAATACTGTCAGAAATAACTTAAATATTACTATAATCGAACCAATTACAGTATTGTAAGCACCAAATAAATTAGCGAAATCTGAAAATAAAAACTGTTAATATGAACTGAAACTTTAAACATTAAAATATTGTAAAATTGGAGACTTCCTGTGAATATTTTTGAAATAAAGATTGTAGGATGTAGGGATTTACTAAAAATTTGGCAGGGATGAGATATTTTATTGAAAAACATCTTAACATGTAACAAAGATCAACTGTACATTATCATATACAAAATGAGCTGAAGTATTGTTTCCTCGCAACGGATTACAGAAGCTACGAGTACAAGGCGTTGAAACGTAACACAACTACCTGTTATGAAAATATTTAATAATTAAAATATTGTATCGTCTTGGGAGTTCCGTAAAGCGAATCACCTATTCTTTATGATCCAATTCATAATTGGCCGTTACATGCAATTTTGTTAGATAAAAAGCGGGGTAAAAGAAAATACTTAGAGTACAGGGTCGAGAGCTCCGTTACCGAGAGGGTCGTAGAGCCAGGGGTAGGCGTTGGGACAGTCCTCACAGGTGTACAGGAACATTCTGTCTTCATTCGCGTGTTCACGAGGAGGCTTACTTTCACATGGGTTGGGCAGCGAGCAGTACGGCAATCCTTTGGGGTCACATTTGTTCTTCCATTCGGGGAAATTATTCAGGGCCGCGATTTCTGTGGGAGCTTCCATCCAGCTGATGGCTTGCAACATGGTCACGAAGTAGACGTCGCCACGACCAGCCACTTCAGCAACCCAATTGGCGAATTCACGCAAGAAGGACTTGCGAGTCAAGAAGTAAGCAGCTTGAAAGTGTAAACCCAACGGAGCACGGTTGGTGTTGTAATGGTGAGCCAAGTTGATATCCAAGAAGTTACGGAACTGCTTGGGATCAACAATGTTGGCACACTGATCGACCAAATGACAACCTGTAAGAGCCTCGGAGAACTCAGGGTCGTCACGACGGTCCAGCTCATTAAGAACCATTTCCCAGGCAGTAAAGTTTCTGGTCGGGCAGTTCTGATCAGTACCCAGGCACTTGTGGGGCATGCGGTGCTGCAGAGTGTACGGCCACAGCGGCAGTCGGCCACGAGGGGCAGCGAGTGACGAGTCGTACAAGAAGCCCCAGTCAATCATCATGGAGAATTGCTCGTTGCCTCCAACACGTCCTTGAGGGACACGCATACCAAGAATCTCTCCTTGACTGATATTAGCGAACTTTTCAGTTATGAGTCGCGCGCCATCGAACTCAGCCTCGTAATCAGCAGCAGTCAAGTTGCTCCAGTAAGTCTTGCTGGCACTGTTCGTGATAGAACCAACAGCGATTTCGTGACCTCGTCGGTGTAACTCCTGTACCGCAGAATAGTTGGTGAATGCGTGCGACACGAAAAATGTACCTTTAGCGGTACAGTCGTTACCCTTGTTCTTGGTAGTCTCTTTGAAAATCTGTTCGTAAATCCTGAAGTTTTCTTCATTGACAGCACCGGAAAATGTGACGAGAATCATTTGAGGAGTCTGGCTTGGTAAAAGATCGCCCGGGATGCGCGTGCCATCGATGGAGCAGAAGCAGCCTTGTTCCCAGAGGCATTGGCGGACGTCGCATTTGGCCGCCGCGTTTGGGTCGGTCTCGGGGTCTGGGGACAAAAAGTGCGTGTGCCCTCAAACTTAAATTCATTCTCGCACAACGAGAAGCACTCAAATGATATATATATATAAAGGTAACCAAGAAAACAAAATCACGGTAAAAAATACGAGCAATTTGGCTCAATCATTAAAATGTGCACACGTTGGAAAAATTTCACTTACCTAGCTTGTGAATGAACCATAAGAGAGAAAAAAAATCTTGGATTGGATTATTTCACTTCATTTAACTACAGTCTAAAATCGTGCAGCATTCCGTGAAATAATGTTTCGTTTAAAATTGGTGCTCAACTCCCTTAAAGTCGAAATTTTACTCAGTTCTTGACAGACGAAGGAAGGAATTTAAGTCATTTACTGCTGTGTTCTATTATTAAGCAAGCCTTGGCAAAAAGCCCCTACCGTCTAACTTGCTGGAAGGGTGACCGGCAAATTATATTCAGTATTGATAACGCAATTATATTTGTTGGTTATAGAAGTAAATGAGGAATTAATGTTCGTCTCGTAAGCTCACCATTGCAGATGTTCTCGTCGGAACCATCACGGCAGTCAAGAGCGCCGTCGCAGAATAAGCGCTGGTTCAGACACTCCTCGCTGCCGCACTCGATCTGGCCAGCGGGGCAGTTCGAGACCTCGTCGTTCGCAATCGGCCACTTGGGCTTGGGCAGGGAATGCTCTGCACCAGAAATAAATGCGTTACAAAATTATAAGGAGAAGAAATGGTTATCTGCTTTTGAAAATCGGAATAAATCATTAATGACATCATTAGGCATTAATTGTTACATATTTATGTTTTGATGAATTTATTTACAGGGAATAAGGTAAATTATAATCTGGTAGATTAATACTTTGTTCCAGAATTATTTTTCATAATTTTTGAGGCAAGGAATCGTTTTAGTCATGGACCCGAAAATAATCAGTAAGCAAGTATGCAAATAAAATTTGAATCAACACTCACTCTGCCAACGGGCGCAGTTGGTGACTTTGCTGCGCACTTCACAGATCTGCAGCTCGACATCGAAGAACATGCCGAACCCGCACTGACTCTTGCTCACCAGCTTGAGGTTGCCCCCGCCCGGCACGCAGCGGTAGTACGTTTGACACGTCTCAGTAGCCTGCACACATTACATACCAAAATAAATCCACAGCTGATAAATAATTCTTTATTGAGCGACTAATCGAGGATCTAACCAAAATAAAGTTCAACTACTACAGCAACCATTCGTGTTGCCTCCAAAATTGATTGATGACCTGGCATCGACTGATGACCTGGACTAGTAATGGTAGTTCCCGAGGACCATTAAAAAGTGCGTTATTAAGTTACTTATTAGTTAAAGAGGAGGCATAGAGAAGCGAATAGTTATATTATGTTTTAGGGGCAGCAAGCCGTTAATAAATTCTATCCATCTTGTCTGGTTTCTTCAACGTAACTCAAAAGTTAAAGAATAATATTTATACGGTAATATGAACTCACAAAAAAATTAAATGTTGAGAAAAACGTCGCAAATTAGAACAAGGTTTTAAATTTTTTTCATGGAGAAAATCATTAGAATAAAGGCATTTAAATTGTATTTAAAAACGCACCTTCTTTTCGGTGATGTCAGGAGGGCTTTCCTTCCTGAAGAACTCGTTGTCGGAGCGCCCCTTGCAGTAGTAGTCTGGGTCCATCTCGGACACATCCACCCGCTGGCCGAGGGCCCCGGCCCCTACAAAAAATTTAGCGTCATTGATGAACAGGACTCATCCTTATTTTATTTGAGAAAATCAGTTTTTATTGATACTCAACTTGTGCATCTTTAAACTCTAGGATATATGAATATATAGTAGGAAGCTCATATCAGTCGGAAGTGTTGCGAGCTAGAATAATAAAGTAACCTCAAATATATTCTACCACAACACTTTCCTATGGGTACGCGAGTATCATCACAAGCGCCATCAATGTTATTTGTATGTTAAAGCTGGGTTTCTATGAGGTACCCCCAGTAGAAAAAGCGTTAAGAAACGATGGTCACCCACATTATTAGATGAAGAACTCAATGATATATGTATGAAAGAATAACAACCAAAGGCAAGTCTTTGTTTAAAATTTGTGCCTAACCGAGGTTATCTATGCTGATGTGATCTTAATCAATGCAGGCACTAATAAGGTTCAGCAGCGATCGTCTTATAATCTGAAAGTAGTCGGGCGCTGCCGCTGAGGCGACACCTCGACTGGTCGCCCTTGAGAGACCGCTCAACTAAAAGAAGCTGCCTGCCACTTTCGCCGCTCACAAACTTTGCCTTTAACTTGAGTCATGTGTTCTAATAATTTGTTGACTTTAATATTTGTATGATTTAGTGCCGGGAATACTGAGGTTAGGCATGCAACTATGTCAATGAGGAACTCATACATCAACGTAATTAAAATAGAACAGTTACCAAACACTGCCCCAGAATTTAGAGTTAAAATTTCACAGGTAGAAAAATTTAATACTAACTAGTCTAACATCCCAAATTTAATACTAACTAGTCTACCATCCCAAGTTAACCAAAAATTTAAAAGCAGAGAAAACGCCAAGTAAATGCATCATATCGTCAATAATAACATTTCGGAGACCAGCTACGAAACAATTAGAAAAATTCATGTCACAACTTCTTTAGTAAACCAGGAAAGAAAGGCCCGTACCGGAGACGACTGTTGTAAATGTTGTGTAATGCACGCGAACATGCATGTAGTAACGGAGGTATTTGTCGTGCCAAAATCGCAGAATTGCCGATTCTATGGAATCGGCAGCCAGTTTGCCGATTCTGTAGAATCAGCATTTCGTTGCTGATTCAGAAAATCGGACGTTAAAGTTAAGAGTTAGAACATAAATCGACCGTTCGAGTTATAAAATGCTAGGTCATGTTCGGTCAAGTTTCTAAATATTTAAATATTAAAAAAAACTTGGCTGACTGACCAAGATTATACAGAATCGGCAAACTGGCGGCCGATTCCATAGAATCGGCAATTCGGCGATTTCGGCAACGACATTTACATTATGACGCTACCTAAATCATCTATTAGAAAATTGGTGGAAGTTCAAGCTAGGATATAGTTTTATCGACAACTGAAATGCATAAAAATTACCATGAAGTTAAGATTGGTCTTTTATTAATTTTTTAAGACGTTTTGGTTATTTAACTACGCAAATGGCTCCACAATAGCATTCGCTATTCATAAAATCAAAGCCCCTAGTGAACATTCGAGCTACAATAAGTTCATGCGAGCGACTTACAAGCGTAGCTTTTAGATCGATAACGCATGACTATAATTTTCTAAGGCATCACTTAAGAATTAGCTTCCTATTATATTGCTTTGTATAGGCTCATGATTCAGCAGAGCACAGATGAAATTGCAGTCACACGCGGTAACTGATATTCAATGGATTTATCATGTCTCACAATGTGTGCACTAAAACAGGGCTCAAAACAATAGTTATTTACTTGAACAACTAGAAAAGTTAGAAATTATGTAAAATTAACGGAAATTCGTCAACCATTACCTGAAATTTATTCGTACCTTGCCGGCATTAGAACTAGTATTTCGTTTGTCATTGAGCAGGACATCAGAAATGGTAAGAATTCGAGCACGCAAGCTAACAATAACTCTATAAAATGGCAAGGGCGGAAGCAGAGAGAACAAAGAATAGGAAGCAATAGGTCGCATGTTCAGGAGAAAAAAAAGGCAAATTTCACTCGTACATTAAGGTCACATGTTCCTCGACGCAACCGCCGTCCGCGATATAGTTTTTGCTCGGCTGATGAGGTGTCGCACAAGACGTTTTTCCGGAGCCATTACAGACATCAAGAGATTGTCTTCCGGATTGTGCACAGGAGCTTCGATGTTCAATGTCTCATGCTGGCAATCTATTCATTATTCTAAAGCTCCCGTTTATCCACTTAGGCAACAAAAGTCGTGATCCGTTTCGAAGCAATGCATCGTGTTCATCAAAAGGGTAATTTACACAATTATTAAACAAACAATAAACTGTAAAAGCTACCTAAAAATTAAGCCCACAGAAGCTACAGCAATTGCTTCAAGATTGCACCCAATTACAATGAATTTGAACTTAGGGAAATAAAATACAAAAATCTATCTAATAAAATCTATCTAAAAAATCTATCTATCTAAAATCTACAAAAAGCTAAATAATCTATCTAATAAATAATCTATATTTTGATGCCAGGTTACTGCATGCGCTGGTAAATCCAGGACGTCCCCAATCTCGCAAAATCTCATTGGCGCCCATCGCTTGCGGTATTTTGCCTGGGCGCCCGAATGGCACCACTTCCCTTTCACTTGAAAGCAAAAACTTCCAAGCTGTGCGCGGGAAAGGTGACCGAATGTAGTACATCTGCACCGCGAATAAGAGCGAGTCCGAAGAAACAGTGTTAATACATGCAGAAACTTAGAAAGGAATCTATAAGCTTGTTTTCAAGAAAATTTTTGGCTTACTTAAAATACCACGCATGAAAATATTACAGGAATAAAAAAATTCTAAGAGGAATAACAAAACCATTACTAGTAATAAGTCTAGAAAGTACTGCTGTATTGCATTTCACGAGACGGTCATTTTTGAAGCAAGCTCAAAATTCTTGTGGCCGATTCTTTACAATCGCTCACGTCAACATTCGTCTCGGGACTTAAAATTAGACTTCCTCCCACTCATCCAAGCTTGGTCATCGTAGCCGATAAGGGAAGATTCAGTTCCTGGTCCAGCAATTGTCAATATAGTTCTGGTCCGTGCTGGCGTCACCAAGCTTTACCGAGTAAAAAATATTGTCTAGAACCATCCGAGTACAGCCATGCACAAATGATAAATGAAAGGCAATCATTCGTCACAGTGGGGATAGGATCGCGATGAATGACACAATCTTATAATAAAGCGCTAGCAGAGAAACTGAGTAGCACGCTGTATAAACGTGTTTTGCTCCATAGCATTTCTGCCACAACGAATCACCGCAGGTGGACACAGAAACCATTGTCTGCTTCAGACGTGATTTATTTTTGGATCGGGCCATGTTATTGTTTTATTATTCAAGTAGCTCCCTATGGCCAGAGTGCTACCATTGTTGGATATTATCTTAATGATTGTAGGAATGAATATATTTTCTCGAAAACTCTCAATTATTCCTAAATATCGAAAAATTAGGCCGATAAGAAGGCACTGCAGCAAGAAGCTATAGGGTTCAAAAGTTATTAATTTTCATTTGCTTAGTTCGGTGAGTAAGTGCTACTTAGAATGCTACCTTACGTGTACTCCAATGTCGTGTTCACCTAAAACTTGTATAATCGTAACAGGGGAACTCAAATCACGGCTCGGACACCTCCTGCTGTTCCAGTTGCTGAGGCTTATCATAAATGATAGTAAAACTAAAGTAACAGATCATTTTTAAGTGATGGTTGTGCACTCATAAATGACATCGACGGCAGCTGTGAAGTGACAGCTTTCATAGCGAGAAGTCACGACAGACTCGTTCATTTATCGTTCCTCCCTTTCGAACTTTCTCTCGCTCGTACTTACGCTCGTTCAAGATAATTATAAGCCTTGACAAAATGCTGAGACATATCATCAAGACATGAGCGTCTAAATGCAGAATCCATCACGCACAGATACATTAGACGAGATGTTACACTGTTATGCAGGCGTTTTGGTCCCGCACTAGACAACTAAAAGTTGTAAGTCGGACGCGAACTTGGGTGATTGCAATAAAACTATTTCAAGCCTGGGTGTAATTTCATGAAACAATTTCTGATACGATTGCACCGATGGTTCAAAATTTCAAAATGCCGAAAATCTGTAATAAAATTCTCGAACACGTCTGCACTGCCGGGCATCGCAGTAGCAATTATAGTTGTCTTCTGTTAGGAGGCAGAGGTCAGCATCCTACCCTGCAAAACCTTACTGCGCCGGAAGGCAGTTAGGCATGCTAGCTCACGTCGACATGCTGCTAGCATCGAGCGACCTATCTGTTGATACAAAAAGGTTTCCTACTGTTTTTATTGTTGTCATTCATTCAAGATAGATACCTATGTGAATGACAACGTGTGTAAACTCAACATGCATAGATATTAATACATTCATATCAAGGAAAAGGACTACTACGTTAGACTGAAACGCTAAATTTTAATGTAACTTTCAAGATAATCTATGGTTTAACTTTTTTTCAAAACCCGGACCAAGAAGTCCTTAGGCATAAAAACAAAACGTCGTTTTTAAAGCAGCCATGAAGGTTCTCTTCCGCGAACGAATGTCGCAACAAATCCAGTTCTCAGGGACAATCTAGAATGCTCTGAAAATTAGCCGTCAAGGTTTTAGACACACTTACCCGGAACCTGGAATTATTTCACGCATGATTAGGATAATCAAGGTCACCAACGAACTCATGAGTAATTTCATCAAGTGCACAATCATCTATCTTTCTATAGGTGTGAAGCTGAAGTTTCCAAACTATCTTATTAGGTTCGCTCAACCTGTTCGGCTGTTCCCACTGATGGCTGCAGTTTTACGCCGTAGGGGAAACACGTTTGCCTCAACAAAACCAACGCTCGTTCGTCAACCCTGCCTGGATGCATCGAGTAGCCTTTTTGACGCAGTTCTTAGAATTGCGCTGTCGCTGAGCGGATCCGAGTCAGCTGAAGGTGACTTTGCTGGAATAGGAACACTTACTCGAGTGCCAGTCTGAACGTGACGCGGCTGGAATAGGAAACTCGTAGGCCGACTTATAAAGTTATTTTCCAATGTCGCCGGAAACCTTGCATATTGTAGAGAGATATCAATGCTCTATATGTGCAGAGCTTGCTAATCACGCGGCACTTGAGGCCGAGCAGTCACCGGCACGATGCTCTCGCAAATCCTTGACATTTGAATGCAGCAAAGCCTGGCAGGCGAACATTTTTTGAGCCGCAGAGGTCAGGGACTTGTCTGTCCGAACTTCAAAGCAAAGCAGGCTGAAAGCGTCTAAAATGTAAATCATTAAACATGAATCGATTTCTAAGATTAACCCCGACATCTCAGAGATACGACGGAACATATACAAGACGAGCGAGGTTGAGAGTAAATTTGTACTCAGGTTTTTAAATAATCTAGTAGCTCGATAAATAGTACTAAAATTATGTCCTAGTCGATAAAGCAAATAAAGAACTATGTCTGATCTGACGGTCCTGCGAGTACTTCGATGAAGAATCTAGCAAGCTGTTGTTTGTCGCACTCGAGCGCCCGCACTTAAAACGCCGTGTGGTTCCCGAAATTTGACTAGGATAAAAATTTAGTCGAGTGTCCAAAGCCGTGCAAAAAGGATAATTCCAGCCTTGAAGGGTAAACCTTGTGAAGAAAGATTTATGATTATGAAGCTTCTATACCTGAGTTACCAACGTATACGTGGCGAAAAGTATTCTAAAGTAAACAAGTATTTTTATAGTAAAAAATATCAATTCCTTTTTATATAATATAAAATCAATTCCTTTTTTTTTTGTTGGAATGGTGAGTATGGGAGGCCTTTATAAAAAATTTTTTATAGTTAATACAAATATCCAGTAGGATTGCTACAATGTGAAACAGGAACGAATTCCCGGGACCACGGTTATTATCTAAAAAAGCGGTTTAACTCAACCATAAGACAACATTACCTCGTAAAAGTGGCAAGTACCAGACTGTCGTTAGTTTCCTAGTTTGAATGTGAATGACAAGTTTTCCTAACTAAGAGTTCAGCGCCTAGAGAAAGTGTGTGGTATGGCAAAGGTTAAATGTGATAGAGAAAGAAAGTGATGGACCCTTTAACGTTCAAATTCCGTTCGTAGTCATCACGCCCTTCTCCGTTCCCTTTCAACTTAGACCTAATCTCTCATCCCTTCACGTATTTATCTCGCCCCCACAGTTAGTTTCCAAGTCTATGCACGTCTATATTATTTTCATGAGTCATTCTCTGGTACTCGCAAGTCCTTGTTTAGCGATGACATTTCCTATCCCAAACGTGACTAATCTACTTAAGTCTCCTCGTGTTTTTCTCTAGTTGTAGTTCTTCTGTCTTTTATTTTCACTTGTCCTTCTTGTCTTCACGTTTCCTCTAACCTTAAAGTTTTCATTTTTTGTTTTGTCTATACTAGTCTTAAGAACGAAATTTTTTAGCTTCGTGAGTCTCTTTCTATCGTTTACGTGCCTCCTTATTCACTTCCATTACTGAACATTCTTAACACTCTGCAACGTTCATATTGATGGAAAAGCATTCGATGACGCGCGCATAAACGCGATTGACCGACATAGCAAAGTTGAGCCGGCGCCCAGACTCTTTTTGGCCGCGCCGAGAGAGAACGGTGAGCTTGACCGCGTTTCTGTGTTGCTTTCTGCAGCACAGCTTTCAAGCACACGAGCGCCCTAGCAACGTTCGAAATATCGACTGTGCATTGATGGTGTGCCCGATTAGAGAGCAGCCCCAAAATCGTCGTGTGAATTAAGTGATATCACGTGTATATTAGCATCCATATTCTTCCCGATATATTTTATTATAAATGTAATTTGAAGCACGGAAAAAGCTATCGAAAATTCAGAATTTGCACACTCCAAGTTACGAGATTTTGACGAAGATTTGTTATCGGAACATGGACTGTACTTCGACACGTTTTGTCAAGTCGCAATTTTGAACAAATATATAGCATTTTATGTTAAGGTATCTATATGGAAAAAGAACGTGCCTTAGACCAACATCGCCATCGTAAGTATCCGCATGATCAATCAGCAGTTGAGCGGCATACAAATCAAGTAAGAGGGTATTATCATCTACGTTCAGAAGAAAAGTAACATTAGAGGTCTGCATCATTTGCAGTTAGTCGACAAGCGTTTGACGTAGGCGTTAGCAGTAAACATCGCAACTATTTTCCAGCCATACAAGAGATCAAAGCTCTCAAACCAGTTTACTGAACAATTTCCATGAGAATGATGTGTGTAGAACGTCAGTACATCGCACGTGTAGCTGGAAAAGACCGCCGAGCGGTTGACCACGCAACGCCAGGTGGCGGTGGAGGTCTCGCAAGAGTTGCGCAAAACGCAACACCTCTGCACGGTTATGTAGCTTGCACCGTCTCACCATTATACCTCCTCACTGCTGCACGATTTTGTGGCTCGCACCATCTCACCATAACCGCATCACTGCTGGACGATTTTGTAGTTCGCACCACCCCACCATTATACCGCTTCACTGCTGCACGGTTTTGTAGCTCACACGGTCTCACCATAACTATAAGCGCTTCGCTGGCCTGGACGTCTCAGCTCTTTAATGCATGAATAAAAAGTATAGTCATTTTAAATTTTAGGCATTGGTAACTTGGCTTAACGAAAATTTAGTTAATCGCGATTTTTAAATTAAAAGTTGAACCGTGAATATGATTGATTGAGAAGAGATGACTGGAAAATTCAATTTTAAATAAAAGGTTCTAAGCAGAAGTGTCATTGAAATCAAAACTCTGCATGAATATAAAAAGGGGGTGAAGTTTTGGAATATTGATGTTACTATTGTTTAATGATGATTTAGTTCATCTTTTTAAATATTCAATTGATTTAGTTGACCAGTTTAAATTTACAGATATAACAGATCTTTTTTAATAATGCATTTGGTGCATGCAGCCTCCCGCATCGGTTAGTGAATGTTTTCAAATGAAGTCGAGGGCAGCGGCTCACAAATGAGCATTACGTCATTGACAGGAAATAATGCTTGATGAATGCTCATAAGTATTTAATATTAAGATCCTAAAGATGATTTTCTTGCAATGCAAATTTGACTGCGACTGCCTTGAAATGAAATAAATTATACTGTGCTTCATTAGAATTGAGATTAATCAAAAGATTCTCTCAAGTAAATATGTGTTGTACGATGTTTAAGCATGATATCGAGTACTAGTAGATCCTACATACATAATGTTCACACAAAGTGGACACGGCAATTCGACGATTAATGTGTGAAAGGTTGGCCACACGAAGCGGTGTGAGCTACAGACAAAGAATACGCCAGCAAACACCGTTCATTTTACGAACTTACCGTCAAGCTGGCGAGAAATTATAATATATCAAACAAGAATTGACTGACACTGCGAAATACATTTAAAATTAATAAAAGCAAAGCACCACCGTAAGTGAAGCAAGAATTTTTGGAAAAAACGTAAGCACGCGGGACACTCACAGAGAGCTAGGAGGCAGCTAAACAGAACGGTACGCTGCATGGTTGCTTCTGAAGCTCCAGCGGGGCTGCAAGGCTGCTTATATACGGCGGCAGCGACGCGCATGCGCTACGGAGAACACTTTCACTGGGTCCAGGGTCACGCTGATGATAGGAGTCCAGCAGAACCCAGCTGAGTCTTGTCCGTGCGCTGCAGACATCACTCAGCGACAGGCGTCACTGAAGGGACAGGCATCCTTCTCCACGTGAAAGATTAAGAAACAGTCTATCATGAAGAATTTATGATTGCTAGGCACACTACAATTTATATCGACAACATAAAAATCTTTGCCTAGTGTGTCTATCATAAAGAATTTATGGTTGTTAGGCACACTACAATTTTATATCGACAACATAAAAATATTTGCCTAGTGTGTCTCATCAAAATGTATGATTGTTAGGCACACTACAATTTTATTTCGACAACATAAAAATATTTGCCTAGTGTGTCATCTGTTTAAAGAAATTGACCTTTCATTTCCTATCATAATATTTATGTAGCAATTCCTTCGGTATAGTACTTCTTAATATGGAAGACAACATTTTACCTGGTTGACTGGCAACAAGGACGCTCATGATGCATCTAACTGTCGAGGACGTGAGACGAAAGTGTGTTTGAAATGATGAGTGAGGTAATTGACGGAGATCTAGAATGAACTCAAAAATTAATATGATTAGTCAGAGTTCAGTTCCAGAATTTGCAAGATTATAATAAGTTTATATTGTATTTAGTTTTGCAAGATTAAAATAAACATTTCCAATGGCATTTCGGACAGCGGCGCCTGTATATAAGGACCATGAAGGTGCCGTCGAAGGTGGCAGGGATCGACCCTTGCTCAGCTGCACTCCCACTGAACAGGTAAACAACTTTCAGCTGAGTGAGCGTATCGCCCGCACACGCTCCAAGCGAGGCATGCGTGACACCAGCCCATAACTTAGCAGGATAAGCTTGTCACCAGCTCATCCAGAGTAATATAAAGTTTATCATATGCATCGATGCATGAACATTTGATCTCCGACCGCATGAAAACGATTAGAAAAAGTTTCATAGACTTTCGCAGTGCCAGCACGAAAGACGATAAGCAGGACTGCGATATACCGAGTTTCACTGTAATGTTACTGATCACCATTGCAGATGGTGGCAAATTAACGCTATTTAACAGCCACGTACAGAAGTGCAGTACAAAAGTTGAGAAGCTGTGCCCCATCATCGAACAAAGTCTATTTATAGGCCCTAGGACTGATGGTGCCATAATATATTGCATATTGGTTCCGATTGAATATTCATATAAATTCATGTCAGATCAGCCAAATTATATGCCAGGAGGTTTCTGGCACACAGACATAGTTTTTCTCGAAAGTGAGCAAAGGAGACAATATCCTGGAAAAAATATGCGGTATAAAGTAAACATGTAAACAAATTACTGAGGTATAACGTAGAATACTGTATACTTTCTACTGTATATTATACACTAATAAAAAACACTATGTAATAATCATGAGTCATTCAAGTTCAGGCGCACGTACGTTTCCAAGAAGCAATTTTACTCGTGAAGAAATTTTGGCGGATGTACATGCGATCGACGCACATGATATTTGGCTTTGATGTGCGGCAGCCGTTATACGTGCACACACGGACACGAGCCTGTGGCAGCCGTTATACGTGCACACACGGACACGAGCCTGTGGCAGCCGTTATACGTGCAACACGGACACGAGCCTTTGGAGCAACACGGACACGAGCCTGTGGCAGCCGTTATACGTGCAACACGGACACGAGTCTGTGGCAGCCGTTATACGTGCACACACGGACACGAGCCTGTGGCAGCCGTTATACGTGCACACACGGACACGAGCCTTTACACGGGCTGCCGCCCAAGGCCGGTGGCCAGAGCACCGCCAGGGGCGCGTTTCTTGGAACGCAGTCCTGACTCGCGGAGCTCATGTAGTCATCCGCAATCAGAAAAGCTCAAATAATCAGAAATCAGAAATTTGGAGCTCTCAACTGCGGGGCTATTCAAAAAGAAAAACTAAAAATTTATTAGTAGTAAAATTTTTTAAAGTTTACGAGAAAAAATGTCGACCGTAATTTGTAAATGCTTGATAACATTCTTTTTGAGAACGGGTTGTAATTTGTTGGTAGAAATGTCGGAAATTCTAACTTTAAGAAGCAACAATGGGAGGTGCGAAACTAAATGGTGAATTTAATTCACAACGGCGTGAAGAAATTTAAAACTTCCAAAAATTTGACTCTGGAACAACGAATGCATGCATGCAGTGATTGAAAATATTATGAATTATCCTGCCATTTCTTTTCTATAAAATCCTTAATTCACTGTGGACGTTATCATTTCATCCATATTTTTAATGACCGTGGTTCAGACGTTTCAAATTGGTCGTGCTGAATATGAAACTATCCCCGACATACGAAAAATTACTATCCCCGACATACGAAAAATTACTATCCCCGACATAAATTACTATATAATAATAATAATTGCGGTTTCAGCGTTATTAGGCCGTAGGCCTGTCGCCGATTCTTAACATCGCAGAACATTCACAGCTTGTTGCGGTCTCGAACTCGCAACTCACTGCTACAATTCTGCTATGCTTAACCGCCCGGTCTCCTTGCCGATTCTGACCAGAAACTGGCGCACAGAGCTGGGATCGAACCCGCGCCTCTCTGCGCCAATCTTGGTACTCTGAACTTTAACCACTGGGCCACCCTGCCCATATACTACCCTCGACATACAAAACCATCCAAATTCAAATAGAATATATACATGCGTGAAACTATGAAAATAAACATTTTATCTTCACCAACTAATTACTACATGAGGGGAGAAAGACGAGAATACCGATTGTTTCTCTTTAACGCAAATTGATAATAAATAATTTACTGACAATTTCAGAGTAATCGCCTTCGACTTAGGTGCGTCCGAACTGCTAAATTTGGTCAGAAAATTTGCCTTATAAAGTATTGCAAATTTTGGGGGAGTAGTGTCGATATGGTGCATGGTTTGAAGAAATCTTTGGAAGCCTGCCAGCATTTAGGCGCCTTCAAACCTAAAAAAAACAGCCTAAGACTGCATCGTGCGCAGGCCTCGGGGTTAATAACTGCAAACAATTGTCATACTTTACCTCGATGAACATAAAGAAAACATACATCAATTGCAATAGTAAAATTTCGCAGAATTTAAGTCAAATGGCAGTGGTGTCGCCTTTTATGTCATGTGGTTTTATTTTCGTATGTAGTAATTTAACAAACGCCAGTCAATTACTTGTTCGGAATTGGCGATTTAATTCTAGCAGGTTCGCCGCAATTGAATTCTCGTCAGCATGTGATCTGAAATAAAGTGGAGGTCGTCTTGCATAATATACAATACAAAAACATGAACATGTGAATTGACAAAATCGTCTCCACGAGAACATCTGTCACAGGAAGGTGAAAATGTAAAGTTAATTTAAAAAATGTTACGTAATCATGTAATGTGCTTCCACCGGTGATGCACCGTGTTAATCTCACACGACAAGGAAGCATCGTTTTGTAAGAACAACTATAAGCGTATAATTTATCCGCTGTGTAAAATATGGACTCTGAAATAAAGTTCAACATCGACTGCATTCCGTCACATACGGTAGTTTCATGGCCCGAGGAAATGCCACTTTTAGGCTATCAATTCCCAGCTCGTACTAATTTGATTCGTTTCAACACGCTCATCAAATAAGGCTAACGGAGTTTAGTAGCAGACCAGTTAGGTGAGCTGGGCAGACAAGGTGAACCACTTCCATGACACTCGACGCGGTCTGCAGGTGGACAGGCCACAAGCGGCGGCCCATCCAACGAACGGCCAACTAAAGGCCACTTGGAGACTCAAGGCGGGTCAAGTCCAACATATAGGACTTGACGAGTTCGCATATAGGACGTATAGGAGATCAGGGGACCTCGCTTCCAATGTGCCGTTTATTCTGAGTCTAAATAGGATGCCTTCTATGGGGAAATAAGAAACTCAAATAAAGAAACCGATTACGAATTTGCATTTAGCTGGAATAGATTAACTTAGCTGCACGGCTTAGGTCACAATTAAGTTCATTGAATTCCCTAAATAGTAGCGAATAATTTCAGACTGAATTATTTATTCCGCTAAAAGCGGCAGTATTTTCAATATTTCTGTTTAGGACGAGCGTTCTTGAAACGTCCTACTAAGACGAGCATAAGCAGTGGGTCCGAAACCCGCACTTATAGATGTTCAAATTCTATGATGCTTAAAATCGGCGACTGGACAAAAAAAAACTATTGTTAATTTATCCCGGTTACGGTCATGATTTTTTACATGAAATTATAGGTATATATGTATACAAATTATACAGACATTATCAAGTTGGTGTAAAATCTGATTCAGTCCAGATTTCAACATGACCCTACGGCTTCTGAGGTGCATTTATTAGAAGCAAAATGAAAAGTATTATAGTCGTCAAAACCAAAGAAAATCGATAAAGACCGCGGATCGAGGAAACGTAAGCTGGCTCAAGATATAAGTTACTATTGATAAATAGTAGGTAGTGTCGATCTAATATATGTATTTTGGCGTGGAGTTCCGTCTGAATGTTTTCATCTCAAATAATAACTAAGCGACCATAACCAAGATCTAGATTTATCGCTAACCCTACATTAGCCATAACTCGGTAAGTATCCTACAGCCATAATCCTTCGATGCCATGTAATTAAATTACGGAAGATGGAATACCAACCTGATTAAGTTAAGCCAAGATTGAAAAATAATCACGTGATGTCAGCCCTAAAGATTGTCATGTGTTACCTGTCACAGATCCTCGCTATCGCAGAATTAGAACAGTGAGCTGCGAGGCTCGAGCCCGAAACCCGTCGCTTCAATGAGGTGCGTATCTGTGCTTAACTACTTCACCACCTCGCCGATTTTGAGAATTTTCACAACTGTCTGCGAGTCTCAAACCCCGAACTTGCTGCTATTTTACGATTCGGCCACCCAGTGTTGTCAGCGTCTGGGTTAAGTTCGCGAATTTTAATTTTTTATTTTAATGAGAATCATGACCACGTGTAAGCGCTCTACAAAATATAACCAAACTTGTGGACGCAAGAAAAGTTTTAATAACCGCTGATTAAAAAGAAAATAAATGCTGGTAAAAGGTTCATGTAGACACTTTTATAAATTTGCGTTAAGAGACACGGAGGGCAGCTAGAGTGAGCTTGTCGGTCGATCTGGTAGCAGTGGACAAAGTTGGCGACATGAGATTATCTTTATTAACGTGTCGCGTGAAAGTTAGGCAGAAACCCGAGGTCTACGAGGTCGCAGTGCGGCCTTCATATACTGGAGTCGCGGCCAATTGTCAGCCGCTTGAGGAATAAGGCGTCTAGCAATAAATTATAACATGGAGTCCGCCGGTTTTAGGAAGTTGCAAATCCTGATGCAACTAGAGACTACTACCGACTATGCGCATAATTTATACAGATGAGGAAAATGTATTCCACCATGCGGCTGAAAAACTCGAAAAACCGTACTCTAACTACATAACATCGCTGCCCCACATACCAAATGTCAATGGTGGCGCGAGTTGAGCGGAGAAGTTGAATATTTGATCTTTCCCTGACCTGATATTATTACAGAGCTAGACTAATATTTACCGATCAAGTTATTTTACCTACTATTTATATTTTACTTTTCCAATAAACTCGGTTTTGAGAGGTTGAAACGAGTGGAGAGAATTTGGAGCTTTATTTCTACTCAATACAAAATGACACTCGGGCGACTACACAACAGAGAATTCAACGCAGGTTTGGCTCTAAGCTTCCAGAAAAAGTTTCTGTTGTCCTGGGTACGAAATTTCGTCCCAGAAAGGTACGATATGAATCTTGCATGCAAGTAAGGCTGACGTACGAACCATTAAGGAAATGAGACATTAGCACCTAGAGCAATGATAAATTGATAAGACTTCATAATATGAACTATAACAAGGAAAGATGCGATACTAGTAAGCCTGCACACTACTGTACTATAATACATATATCTCGAACTAGCGATAATTCTGTTCTAATGTCCGCGAATCAGGCGTCAGATTACATCCTCGATGCAATATTGTGACCAGCATTGGTGTGAGATGGAGCAGAGCGTGGCGCCATCATTTGCACACGTTACACATTAAATTCTGGCTGTTCTCCACACGCGACCCCCGCGTAGACTTAACACTGACGCGCGCTGCCACCTTTCATCGCGGCAGCGCAGGCAATGCGCAAGATACGAAGATAATAACTGGTTGTGCATTATACTAGAAAAACGCATTAACTTCTATTCGTAGTAAAGCTCTCAGTAAAGTTGTATATATCATCAATAACAGAAGGGTAGATACGTTTATAACAACTCAAATAAACTTCTTTACAAAACAACAATTTTAAAAGAGAGGTAGAAAGTTAATTCTTACCACAAAATACAACGAAATACTAATCATAAATGTACACTACGCAGTTAACAATTAAGATGCTTCATACCTACTCATATATGAAGAAGACTGGCTGAGAAAAATATTAAGACTAGAATAATCACGGGTATATAAGGAACAGAGAAAGGAATGTGCAAGGCAAGAGTAATGTGCAGCAACGCGCTAGCAGCAAAAGAGAATGTTCGCAGAAAACAGATGCTCGAGAAGGGCGAGTTTTTTAAGGAACCGCGGGAGGTTCAAGAGGCGTGTTGTACTCGCAGCCAAATGTCACGTGAGAGCCGCGGCGCTGGGCTCTGCCGGGCCGTCCTTGTAACGCTTGTGTCTGCACGCTCAGATGGAGCGCTCACATGAATGAGTCATGTCGACGAAATAGTGATGTTGCTGAGCCAGACTAGGTTAGGTTGACCCATACAGGGGGTTTAGTGCATCGCTATTTTGACATCGTCTCACTCATTTCTATGATTGGGATGCTGAAGAAGTATGATCAACTGCAAAACCCTTTTAAAGCCAAAATAATTTTGCCACTCTATGCCCCATAATTTCAAGCACATCTAATTTCTTCGACAAAGAACTAATAGAACAATGGGACTGTAAAGTACTACAATCTGGGAGGAAGCTATGAAATGCAGAATCTATGAAATTATTTACACAGAATTTAATTTTAATTTGGAAAAAATATATCAGTACCAACAAATTGATACACAAAAGCTGGTCATACCTCAAGCTAAAAGGTAGGAATGTACTATAATAAGACGTATTATTATTCATGTAACGAACGTATTTCATCTTTAATTTGTGCGTTCTCTCCACAAGCCCTAACTGGGAACTACAAAAACATCCTAAAATTGGGATGGTCATGCAAATAGTACACCATCATTCTTTAGTCGGCTGCAATAACATAACACAGGTGGGATGTTCACCCCACAAATACGCTCCTTCGTTTCAAATGAACCATGTCATTATCAATAAACCATGCACATGGAGATCAATCATAATCTGCATACAATCACTCGTGCTTCTTTCTCCTCGTGTACATCCGCTAGAGGAAAAAATTACGAGTAGATTGAAATTATTCACAACGCACCTCCAAAGTCGAATAGGGAGCAATAATGGGACCGCAATGTAAAGAAATTACAGCAAACGCAATATAAGCTCGAGCTTTTCATCAACTTTCGCAATAGAAGTAATGAATGTTGAGACTGCATATGCACCTGCTTCTAGAGTATGTGCTAGTATGGCACAAAAATTACTCCTCACGACATTGTGCGACGTTACACCGCAGGAAAGATTACCAGACGTAACAATGAGTCCTAAGTAGACGAGGCGAGATGAAAACTCTCCCGGAAGATTGCACACCGCAATCAACTTTCCACATTACCACAATTAACAAAGAAGGTATAAGAAATGCCCCTACGCCGATCCAAAACATCCTCTAGTGTAAATACTATTCACTATTGACATCTGACGTTGAATCAAATTTACGTTGAATTAAAAGCGTTTGGTAGGATCAACATTATTTCAACGTTATTTTTTTATGTCAGATGTCTGGTACAGGTAAGGTCGATGCCAGAACCTCTTGATCGCACCGGAATACATCGTTAATCTCATTGCAGGACACGAACAAGAGATTCTGCTTATACCGTGTATCCTTTTGTTCACAAGCTCATTGCTCAGGTTACAAAGTTTTGGTATCGGTGCCAGGAGAAAATTTGTGCTTAGACAAGTTAATAGACAAGAAACGAAGAAAAATAATGGACACGATACTTAGATAATAAAAAGAAATACGGTATGCACCTTGTGCAGCACGCATGGTTCGTTTTCGGCCTTCAACGATCATGATGCACTTGATGGGTACAGAAGCTTTAAGACTCACAATTATAGCCAAGATTGTATTCTTATAATTCCTAGCGCGCAACCTAAATAAATTTGTCTTAGTTCGATCATTTTCTGCGTGTTTAACTCAACTTCAGAGTGTTTGACTGATAATAAAACGCAATAAACTGAATCAACATGACTCATACGAGCAATAATTGAATCGCTATTTGGACTAAATCTCCATATTCCTCTGAGTGTAATCTTTGTAATCTTCAGCAGCAACAAAAGACAACATCAATGACACGGATATACCGGAACCTGACAAGAATCAGCGAACTGGCGTGCATTTTCCTGATCTTAGAATGTTCTGAAAGAAGAATAAACAAGTTTCGTGGAGTTGTACGAGTAGTTGTTGTGTAGTGGACACATTTTTCTGTTACAGAACAATTTTAAAATGCAAGGCCTAAATATATCTATTGTTGATTAAAATGTTTATATATGCAAGGCCTATCATAAATATTAATCAGCAACGGGTGGAAAAAGGCGGCAAATGGCCATCGCGCTGAGGCTGGCGAGTATGAGTAGCAACGAAGATGCTTGTACTGTACTTAATGTCGCAGCAGCGCCAAAGAGACGAGAAGGGAGTGAAAGAAATGCCAAGTGAATAACAACTGAGGCCACCCCTGGGACTCGCCGTTAAGATACCGCAAGCTCTGGCGAGGCGCTCAGCGTCAATGCCTCAGTTACGCCAAAATTCATAGGTCTTTGGAAAAGATTAGATACGTGACAAGAGACCTCAAGGTTTCGTTGGGATTCAAATTTTTATGAGTTCAGATTAGAGGTTAAAAGCAGCAATAGATATCCAAATGAGTATTTATGTCGCACAATTTTTTTCTAAAATAATCCCTCCATCTGCCCATTAAATCTAGCAAGGTACAGACTAACATATTTCGAACAGTTCAGATATATAATATAGACATTGTGAACACAAGGTATAGACGTACACATGACGTGGCTCAGCCGGGAGAGCCGTGAAGTGATCACAGGGCTAATATGTTAAGATTATCTCGTCACTACGCAGCAACAACGCTGCCTTACAGGAATATCCCTTAGAAATAAAACGAATTCACCGTAATTAAAGTAATTTATACATGAATACGATTTGCACAGTAAGTTTAAAATATTTAGAGCGAGCTAATAAATTATAGGTTAACAAGAAGACGACTCGAGCTAGACCAGATTGTAGCGACCGTTGCGCTAAACGTCATCAGTGTGCGAAATAGCCAACCGATTAAAATTGTCCGTGCAACATGCCAATTTGTCCCAAAATATGTATTATTTTAATCCGTCCACGATTCAATGTAGTTGGACTTGTCTTTCTAGCTTCTTAACACACATCCGCTGAGAACACAACGGAGCGGTTGTTAGCAGTGTGGTAAACGTTACACTGCTTCACAATACGGCGCCTAGCGAGTCCAGCGTGGACAACCATCATCACTCAAAAAATAAAAAAATAAACTCCAAATAACAGTTAAAGAATCTCTAGACTCAGCATAATAGTGAGATATAATCCCGGAAACAGCTAAATAGAACTTTATCAATACTGATGAACCCAATTTGGTTGGTAGTTTCGGTGAACCATTACTCACCATTCAGAACGAACTGGGCTGTTGCAAGAGCGGTATCGCGTCCCGCACATCCGCCCAGCGTACAATGCCAGTCGTACAGCACCAGAATGAGCGAACTATGTGCCTCAACACTCATCTTGTGATGCGACCTCTCAGCCGCAGCGTCACTATAAGTGCCATCTCAATATGGATGGACCGAGACTAGCTATGGTAGTTGCGTGGAGGTGATCGCAGACGTTGTGCGTGGTAATGTTATCAAGCAATTCATATAACTCATTGAGAAGTTTACAAGTGAATAGTTGTACGTTTAAAGAACATGCTTGACGAATATTGATATATACTTACATAAAACAAAACGACCACTGCGTAACTGATAAGTTTTATCTTAAACAAACCCACTTGTGTTGGGAATATTGCATTCTGTCCATGGTTGTAGGGCGTCCCTCTCTCTTCCGGCACCTCTGCTGGCTTGACGCTCGGGCACCACCAACACAGCTGGCCGCACTTCACCAGCATGTGTACCGAGGCTAGTATGGCCGATGATATTTCACTAGTACAAAGTAGATTAAATTCGCTGGTACGAAGCTCACGACCGAGATTTGGTGCAGGAGAAAGATATGATGAAGGAGATGCGGGCATAGAAAAGTAAGGCATATGAGGACATAGCATATAAAGGGCAACCGATTCGTGCAGCTCAAGTTTTACATAGAATAAAACTGCGAGACATGGCATTAGTAAATCTATGAAGATAAGCGTAGGTTTGTAATGGGCAATTTTATACCAGTAAGCAATACCAATTCAAACCTTAAAATGCAGCTGGCCCATAACAATCAGACGAAATATGAAATACTGTTAAGTCCTGCAGAAAAACTTGATAGAAACTGACCCCACTTCAAACAGAGGCGAATTATTTGAAGACTGAGCGCTAGTAATGTGAGAAGTGATCACGTAACGAAGATGAGGTTTGTCTCTACATGAAGATTTGTCAGTGGTTGTAGAACAGACGAAACGACCTGCGAGTGCTGGAGCGCTTCTAGTTACATTCTGGCTTGCCTTCATGCCGTCCAAGCACGAACCTCGCATCTTTGCTTCACCTTTACGCTCCTGATATCTACCTACGTATTTAACAATTATTACGGGGGAAAATCTCCACTATCATTTCAGAGAAAAAATCTTACAACAAGATATTAATATAATCTGTACATGTTTTGCTTTTGAACGCTGGGTTGGTATTAAATACATTGTAAAAATAAGCTACGAATGATTTCGACTTCAGCGAGCCTCTTGCGCCAATGCCTACCTACAGACTGTTTAAGTTCCCTGGAATTTCTGCTGCTTTATAATATAGCCAACTAATTTTAAATATGAGGAACATTTACATTTGATGAAAATTTCGTGAAGTGCCAGTATGCATTTAGTTCATAACTAGCCATCTTGTCCGAGAAAATAATCTATAGCCTTAGCAATAATAGTAATAGGTGCTATAACCGCACAATTTTACTACCTCGGCCGCCCACTCTCTGCCGTACTACACTTAGTTTCATCCATGCAATTAATGCTAATGTCAAGTAATGCTGAGAATACGGCGGATTATATTGGGAAATTCTGTGCACCTACAATAGTTAGGGCAGAACCGACCCATTCTGGTTTGCAAAGAAGGTGAAGGAAAGACTCGCAGCACGTCACTAAACTGCGACGCAAGGCCATAAGCCAAGACTTTAGTCGAGCCATAGCGCTACCCACGATTGCGCGCGCCTCTATCAGCGATCCCAGATCCTAATTAAAGCTTCTTCTGTTACTATCCTCAAGAATCCTTCTTAATTATTCCAGTTAGAAATCACATATGAAAATAATAATTTTTTGTCAAGTTTTTTGTTACGAAGATAACCCCAGCCTAATATACTCAAAGAATACAGAGATCAGACACGACCATCAACACGCAACATCTCACAATAAAGATATTTTATCAATTATTTGAACAAAATGCCAACAAAAACTAGCTTGTGGTAGATGATATCTAAGTAAAGACACAGACACTAACTATAATTGAGATAGCAAGTGGTTCATAGAACCTGCCTTCAAAAGACAGAAGATATGAGCTTGAGATTTGAATTACTAGTGAAACTTCGGTGACAACATTATATAGAATTACTTTAATTAACAATGAGTCAACGGTAAATACTTGCACGGCTAATAGCTTAAATAAAAATATTTTACATATGCGGCATTTGACATCGCAGCTTTTGAGTTCTCGACTGAGGATGATCCTGCGCGGGGTCAGCAGAGACTACAGCTGGTGTTGCACTTCCAGGGACTTGCCTAATTCTAGCAACACCAGCCTAGAGATGAAGAGCAACACCTAAGAGTTGTTGCCTAAGAGCAACACCGGCCTAGAGACTAGAGCTGGTGTTGCTCTTCCAGGGACACGACTTCCAGTCGGTCAGACGCCGTGCGCCGCGCCGTCTTCAGACACGAGGACCGGGCACACGGAGGAGGTGACAGTTGGTAGTGCTCGGTGCCCGGCGGGGGCGAGGCCTGGTAAGGGGAGACTGGAGTGCTGATCATGCCCTCACTCCTGTTTGGCTTGCACAGCGGGCTGGTCACCGCACTCTGTATAACTGAAGGGCGTATAGAGACGCCTGCGTGCGTTTCTAGTCCATTGAGCTCAGCAGTAGAGCCATTCTGTACGACAAGGTTTGGGTTGCTGACGTTCGTTTCCACTTCATGCGTGGCCAAATAATCATTTTTGGAGTGCGAATCGTGAGAACTGTCAGACGCTGTAGGGGAGCTGACGGTTATGAGAGGCAAGGGAGGAGAGTGGCAGGGGATGGGAGGGGGATGCAGGGTGAGGGGTGAGTGCGGAGGGCGAGGAAGACTGCAGTCCAGAGGACCCAAGGGAATGGTGAGCGGGTCGGGCAAGGAACTCGACCGCAGTGAGAGCCGGTGATGGTGGCGGCCGGTGAGAGCGTGGTCGCCTCCGTTGCTCGTGTGGTTGCCAGCGTCTTCACTGACGGGCGTGCTGAAGTGGTGGTGGCGATACCACAACCGCCGGCGTCTACATGCTTTGTCGTCCTCGGGGACGCTGGCGTCGCGCAGCACCGAGCATGGCAGAGAGCCTCCTTCAGATGCCGACCTCTCGTGATGAAGCGCATCTCGGGCAGCGGAAACGAGATTAGTTTGCTCTGAGCTTAGATTTGTCAAGCCGCTACAATTACTGACTTTAGAGGGACAGCGGAACATGGAGCTCTCATCGAGCTCATCACCGAATACGCTGTTGGTCTCGCTGTCCTGACTGTCATCGCGAGGTGCCCACTCCGTCTTACGGTGGCCACTACAGTTGCCGATGGTCGGCGAGCCATCCACGCTACGGTCACTCGGGGAACCTTTCGATGGTTGCACAGACGATGGGTAGGAGGCCGGCGACTCCAGTGAAGAAGAAGAAGGATCGTCTCCAGCTATAGAGGGAACAGAGTTGGCGCAAGAGGATGACTGTTGGGGCTCGCCTTCGAGGCTGAGAGAGCCCTTCATATTGCCACGAGGTGTAGGCAACGCCAGCAGCAGCACGTCTTGCGTCATGTTGCCGCTGTCGCTGTGGCGGCGCCGCTTACTGGCGCTACTCATAGACGGGTCATCGAGCTGGCGTTTGAATGCGCCCAGACCAGCATCACTCTCGCTGCTGCCCACGTCAGACTGGTAAGAGTTTGCCAATTTCTTGAAGAGAGGAGGCAGCGTCCCGCCCCCGGCGCTGCGCCCGTCGTACTCGATGCTGTAATGATCACCTGACTGGCTCAGCGCCTCGTGAAGCAGCGACAGCACCTGATGAGAAGAATAGTCTTCATCATATAAGAAATAGAGAGAGCAACGACTTGCATTGTCCCTGCACATCAATGACGACAACTCCATGAAGGAAGTTATTCTAGGTCATATATACGAGCCAATAAATATTTATCACAATATATGATATGCTAAATTATTGAAGAAGTAATCATATTAATGATAAGTCAGGAGTCAAAAACATTTATGGTGGATAATAAAACTTGAGTATCATTATTTTTTGATGCACCCTTGGATGAAGCCACTTCAAAAAATATGAATATAATGGCATCCACAAGAATGAGATTTATAACTTCATGTTTTCTGCAACCTTCAAATGCATGAGGAAGAAAAAAAAATGTCGCTGCTCTTGTCTAGCCAAATAACTGTGATAGAAACAAGACGACTGCTCTCGTCTAGCCAAATAACTGTGATAGAAACAAGATGATTATTGGGCTGCAGTTGCTGCAGGTGGAAGCCCCTGCCCTAACATAATTTAGAGTCGCCCCAGCTTCTGGTAATCCAAATCAGAAGCTGAATTTAGAGTCGCCCCAGCTTCTGGTAATCCAAATCAGAAGCTGAATTTAGAGTCGCCCCAGCTTCTGGTAATCCAAATCAGAAGCTGCCGCGTATGTAAATTTTCGCGAACCTCTTGCTTGGAGCTGTTGGCGGGTATGACGTTGGGGTAGACCTTCCTAGGCCGGAGGTAGGCTACCATGTCGAGCACCTCAGAGCAGCTCGCGTGCATAGACAGCAGCACGCGGCAGAACGTTCCGCCCTCCGAGACCTGACAAATCTCCTGCAACACAAACCCAAGCTAATGTCAACAGCACGCCACTCAACACACAATTATCATACAATTAATCACCATATTTTGTTAACCAGTGCAAATTTAACATAATAGTGGCTTTACGAAGACTGAGAATATTCCCATCATCAGTTGCTTGATTAATTTATTATCAATTATTTTGATTGAATAGAACACATTAGGGGGAAATAGGTAATTACCTAAAACTCTCCTGGGCACAAATTAATTGATAACAACCGAGTTTGATGCTTGGCTGGCCATGCAGATGATTAAAAATGAATGGAGCGGCTATAAATTAACTTAGGAAATGGTTATGACTATTAATTGGTGGCCCTATTAAAAAGTGATAAAAATATAACTCAGTACTCACTGCAGTGAGTGACAGAGAGCGCATTTTCTCGTCAACGAAAACATGAAGTCACGGACGGACAGGCATACAGACGGACATGGCGAGCACAATAGCGCCTTTTTTTCATAAATGAGAAATAGCGCTAAAAATATCAAGACTCTGAAACTGTTTAAGCAGCAAATAGATAATTCATTGATTTGTGTTCAAAAACTGTTGAAAATGAAATAACTTTGTAATTGAAGATCTGCTTCTATCGTTTCCAACAAATCAGTTAACTTAATAAATATTCCCATTACTGTTGCTGGACAAGCTATTCTCATCCATCTGGAAGAAGAGCAGGTCAGCACGATAATGAACTTGAACATAAATGAAGACCATTGAATAATTTCAAATATTATTCAAAGCGTCAGATAAAACTGTAGCATGGGCTAATAAATGCGTTAAGACTTGCTTTGCTATCATGATGAGCAAAAGCCAATATTAATTGCAAGTAAAATTGGTAATTCTACAATCATTCAAAACCGAAGTAAGATGGTGGCAAAAAGAGACCTACCCTCCAGTCGCAGGCATGTATCCACGTCTCCGTAGCGTCAGTGGTGAGACTGTCCTGAATCTCCGGCACGGTGTCGTACATACGGTACGTCCAACGGTTCACGTGGATGCGCATGTTGAAGCGCTCATGCAGACTCCGGTACACAAACTCGTAACCATACTTGGCTGCAAGTTCAGAATACATAACATCAATGACATGCTTAATATTTGTCATAATTAATTCTGCACCTGAGATCAGAACATATAAGATTTTTATAGTCAATGAGGCATACGTTTTTTGAGACAGCATTACACTAAATATTTGTAAAGTTCATGGGTTTGAGTGTGTTTGAAACCTGACACCGCAAATATGTAGGAGCTGCTGGGACGCGTATCCAAGATACTTTATTTATTCTTAGAGAGAGAATATAAAAGTTTTGCAAAACTGGTAGTAAAGGATTGGATCAAAAGTTGAAATTTGATTTTTGAATGGATTTATTAATAGGTAAATTCAAATTCAACGATGCTAAATATAGTTTTACTACTTTGATAATATGCGTTTAAAAATTAGTTTTTAAAGCCAGACTTCTAAAGAGGTCGGTTGTCTCCATTGTTGCAAGTGTATTTAAGGGGACCGACTACCTTCCGGAAAAACTTCTACAGTTATAATCCGATCATCATGAAACTTCACATACATACGTAAAATGTAAAAGTAAGAACATTTTGCTTCTATGAATTTTTCGAAAAAATTGATAGAAAACGTAAAATTCATAGTAAACGGCTAAAAAGGGGTACTTTAGAAAATCTATCTCCTCCTACAAATATCATCCTACAGCATCGAGACACGTATCATTCGGTTCGTAAGGACCATACCTAAAAATTTGATGATCACTTTTCTCATTTTCCCCTTAGTTTTTTTATGCGCGTTTTAAGAACGTAAATTACATCGGTTTGACCAGCACGACTTTGAGCCGCCGCCTAACATGCCACCTCCAGACCGGAGGACCGAAGAACCACATGAGGGAGGCTCATAATGAGACCCTCACTCGCGCGACATTGGAGACCCACACCAGAATCATCATGAGATGCCCAGACGCCTCAAGACTGGCCATAGCTGAGGCTCTCATCATCAAGCAGCAGTCTCCAGCTATTAATTTACAAACTACCGGATTTGTCAGGACGTTGAAACTGTTCTCGTAATTTGAGCTTTGAATTCAATCTGTGTCCATAATACCCATGTTTGTACTAATGTCATTTCAAAATTTCAACTTCAAGCGTTGCAAAACAATTCATTTTCTACTTGATAATGAATGAAGTTGCATTCGAAACGTCGTATAGTTAAAATTATAATAAAATGACCATTTGAAACCTGATATTTGACTTTTCAGTTCATATCAAGAGCTCAATTCGCCGAATAGAGAAAAACAATGAGAAAATTGTCAATAAGAAATACTCTCTGGTCTTCAATGAAACCTGCATTAAAGAAAATCTGCCAAACTACACCAATGTCATACATAAGTATATAGTAGAAGACCAGATAGTATTTCTTATTGTAATTCAAATTCGACAACACCATATATAGTTTTACTTCTTTAAAAAGAGAGTTAAATAGAAGTTCATGTAAAGTCGGCGTTCCCGTTAAAATGTCGATTGCTTAAATTAGCTTTATCATTACCGTGATTTAGGATAAGAGGAATCTAAAATTGCAAATATTTTCAACCCAGACAACGCCGGGCAATCCGGCCGGTTTCTCATAGAAAAAACAAACAATGATATTAAGAACGTCAAGTTGCTGCGCAGTTCCTTTTTTGATCCTCAATAAAGCTAGTAGGTACAAAACCAAAATTGTGAAGGAAACACTTGATTTTCCATCAGTGCTCCTTGTGTCATGAAGTGTTGAGTATTCTACCACTAGTAAATATATCCTGCAAGAGATATTAATATAAATAAAAACTTGTATGTGATACATGAAAGATGGAAGTATTAAATTCCAAAAACCCTCAGCCAATAAGAATCAACCTCATTTGCATTAAAAAAATAAGGCATTAATGCTAAAAATAAATGAACTTGTGACAATAAATGCTGGAATCTTTATAGATGCAGCCATTCTCTTCCATTAAGACTAACATGCAGTAATGATCAATTGGCAAAAGAATTCAAAGAAACTTGCGCCAACATTCCCATTCATTAAATAAAAATAAATAATTACATTAACCAAATTAAAATATTCAAGCTAAATTTGGAAAAGATTTCATGCTGACCAGGACAGAGCAGGTGGATGAGATGGTTGTTGCCCTGAGCCAGCCACTCCTCAACCAGATCACCAATAACTTGAGCGCTGTCCTGACGTGAAGGGAAGCTCAGCACTCGCCGGTGACAGAAAGTTGTGTCGATGTGCAGTGAGTGCAGAGTCTTGACGGAGCCATCAGCATTGTGCAGCGCGCGCAGCTGATTGCTCTCACCAACAGCCAACCGAAAGTCGCCGGTGTAGAGCACAGTACCTCCTCTGCCTTCCAGCAGCAGCCTGCAAATCAATGAAGATCAATGTAGTGAATATAGGGAGTAAATGAAGCATCCCAAGAGCCCCTAGAGGAATTCTATAAATAATATCACTATGATACACTAATGATGGCTAGAGGCAAATTGAACATTATTTTGAACTTGTTGGTGCAAGAAAAGTTTACTTTTGATAACAGAAATCTTCCAACTTCAAACTTCAATGAAGTCTAGAAATTTAAATCTTTCAGAGGCATTTTGCTCCAAGGATCTAATACTGCAATTGCAAGTTCTCTATCACTGGTTTTTGTAATCAGTTTCCACTTTCTTAATCTAAGCAGTAGCAACAAACAGCTTCAAGTTGCTCACATGACAGAGCCTGGGCAATGGCCTGCAGGAATGAGCGTCACAGTGAGGGAGTGAGGAGGCTCGTTGGCCACAGTAGGAACAGATATCTTGACAGGCTCGTCAGGAGGAAGTGGCCGCAGATAACTGCTCAGTGGCCGGTGTCGTATGGAGGCTTGCAGGAAGCGTGCCGTGATGAAGGAGCAGTAGAGGTAAACTCCTTGGTTGCTCTCCAGGTGGTCCAGGAATTGGGGGGATGACAGGCCCACCATGTGGTCTGTGCATACAATTTTACATTTAAAAGAAGAATTACAGTATATATTGCATGAAAATAAATTAAAGAATGTTCAAATATGATGAATCTAGCTTGATGCACAACTAGAATTAAACAATTTTAATTCATTCAGATGATTTTATGAGATCAATAGAACAACACATTGAGATATATCAATTATATCCAATATTATTAAAAAAAGGTAATATTGCTATTCATTTAATTTTTTCAACAAGAAAAAATGACTTATATTGGTAAACCTGTCACCATTAGACAAAGACAGCAAACAAAAAATATTTTATCACACAAGAATAGAGCAAAAAACCCTGAGATAACATATCATCCACATGAACAGAGTTTACACATTTTAACTACTGATTTGAATGATATTTCATCTATAAAAGAACAAGTCACTGTGGTGAAGCCTATAATTTTAATATATTTCAATCAGATGAACTGAAGATTGTAATTGGTTGATTCTGCTTGATGAGACAGAAGCAAGAGTTGTTTTCACATGTGAGACAAGCTTGATCACTATATTCATTTATGACAGTTATTTTTCTAAACAGAATGTGAATTGCAACATAAAATGTCATATCCAGAAGATGATCAATATTGTGGACTCACCAGAATGTGCATGACTGAGGAAATAAGCTGTACTGGCCAGGTTCCTACCATCAAATCTGTCCACTGATATGTGAGGATATTCTTTGACTTTCCCAGAGAAAGAACTCATTATTGGAAATTTTCACTTAATATATCTGGAAAGTATTGAACTTATTATTATATTATAGATTAAACTAAACATGTTATAATTGTTTCTATCATATTATGACAACCAAGAAAACAAAGAGCAAATAAATGTAGTAGCATTGACTCACACCACAATTTGTTTTTATGTCACTGGCCATAGCTGTTACAAGCCAACTGAACATTATTAGTGACTATAATTCACTAATGTCAGGGGTGGATACTTGCAGCTCAAAGCAAAGATGATGTATAAATTAAATACAGGCACTACGCTCATTCATTTAACCTTCAATGCCGTCCATAACTCTCCCTGTTATAAGTCAGTAGTACGCTGGTTCAGTGGCAATGGATCACAATCACAATTTCATAAATTAAAATAAATTATTATACTCAGACTTAACTTCATTAAATCACTTCACAACATTTAAAACATTAGGCATTCAACTGTCCCTTTTGCACAGCATTAAAGCACATAAATCAGGAAAAGCAGTGGACACTGACTGTAGTCAGCGTGACAATAAGGGCAGCCAATGTAGGCAGTCAAAAATCACTGCCATCAGATACTAGCTAGTCTGCTAGCATAGCACTCAGCTGACAGCTCATGATCAGTTAACAACCTGCCTAACCAAACTAAGGCAACTGCTGATCTTGGCTAGCTACAGCACATCCAGCAGCCCACAGGTTCAACGGTCATGTGTTTGACTACTTGATGCGTGCAGTCTCCTACATTTTTGTGAATAAGAAGGATCCAGCAGATAATACATTTCAAAATCCTACATGTGAATAGTTAAAAGCAAGTAAATTTTAAGATATGTAGTAGTTTCCCGTTTGTTAATACTTACAATAATACACGTTTAAAAATTACTTTTTATAGAAAACACTTCTAAAGAATCCAGTATCTCCAGTGTTACACATGTACAATGAATTTCTAATTTTATTTTCAAATATTAAAAAATTAATTTTTAATTTTGTTTTAAAAATTAAAAATTTTGTATAAAATTTTTAAAAAATGATTAATTCTGTCAATTGATTCATGCATTGTCTCCGACTTTACGCAAGTGTGCAAAATTTCAGATCGATTGGAGAGGTAGAAGTGTGTTAAAAAAATCCTAATTAGTTTGTGACGTCACATGACAGACGAGTAGTGCGTAGGTAAATAGCTCACAACCGTCTTAAATAATGATTATAAGATTTGTAGCAGACAGACAAACAAACAAGAAGTGAAGTTAAAGAGAAGTGTTGTAATATATAGTCCAATATTGCACAGAATATCTCGATTTTGCTATGTATGAAAGTTAAGATTGTTTCCCTTTGAAATTATGTACCTATATACATTTTAAAGTCTATGAAATAAGGAATATTTTGACCAAGGTAGCCATTAACTGGAAATTAATTACTGCAACTTGTGACTTCAGTACACAAAATTCTAATGAATGCACTCAGGGATATACATCTTAAAATCTATTATTATATATCAAGTGCAAGTTTGTTTGAAGACTGAAATGAGAAATTTATGAGACCAATCTCACTTCTGTCGCCAATTGTGAAGATCCTGGAAAGAGTTCTATTGAACAAAATTGAAAGAGATATCCCCAACATCCAACACTAACATGGATACAAAAGATTGCATTCAACAACATCAGCACTGCACAAAATAAACGATGTCATCTGTGCCGGTTTTTATGAAAAGGCGCCTCCCGAACGAACGATAATGGTAGCCTTAGACATGAGTAGTGCTTTCGATACGATCAATTATAAAAGCATGATAGATAAGCTATTGCTAACACCTATACCTAAACAGATTGTTAAGTTCCTAGCAAACTATCTAAGAGGACGGAAAGGTTATGTGGACTACTACGGAAGCAAATCAAGACAAAGAACTTATCATGGAGGAGAACCTCAAGGGGGAGTGCTGTCCCCAGTACTGTTTAACATATACATGTCGGACCTACCAATGCCGCAAGAAGGAGTGGGAATTGAAGTGGTGACCTATGCCGACAACATCACGGTATTGGCAAGTCATAAAGATCTACAGACGGCCAAATCCAACATCACTACATACCTTAACAGCCTTACAGAATGGATAGAGAACAACCACCTGTTGCTCAACACAGAGAAAACTCAAGTCACACTATTAACACCGGATCCCAAGCAGTACAGTGTCAACCTGGAGCTCATTGTAAGAGGAACAACGTTGGGAATGGTAAAACATCCAAGAATCTTGGGAGTGACTTTTGATCCAAAGATGACCTACTCTGAACATGTAAGAAACACTGCAAGCAAAGCAAAGAAAAACATTAACATATTAAAAGCCCTATCTGGAGCTGACTGGGGAAAGAACACGGAGACTATTGTGCAAACCTACAAGGCGCTGATACGTCCAGTTCTGGAGTATGGAAGTAGTATATGGGGTCCCATAACATCGGAAAGTGGCTGGCAGAAAATACACACTGTTCAGAACTCTGCCTGAGAATTGCCACAGGACACACATGCGACACCAATGCACAACATCTTCACAACGAAACATCTGTCCTGCCCCTGAATAACCATGTGCAGATGACAGCCTCGCAACTGAGGGAGAAGAGCAAACTGGAAGAACACCCACTGAGAAGCCTGATGAATCAAGAGCCAACCAGACTCATGAAAAAGACCATATACAACAGTGAGTATAGCATAAAAGTGTATGACTGCAACAACAAAAACAGTGATAGCAGCGTGGAGGTGAATAGAAACATGAAGACATTGCATACCACCGCAGTCGAGAGATACCTAGAGTCGAGAACACATAACAAGATTCTAAATGCACCTGCACCTAAAGTAAATGAAATAGAGAGGACTTTGGACCGAGGCATGAGGCGTACATTGGCGCAGTTAAGGGCGGGGAAATGCCCAATGCTTAGAGAATACCTTAATAAGATCGATGAGGCTAATTACCCAACACCATCATGCCCTCTATGTCAAAACCACACCCACAACACACAACATCTGTTTGAGTGTGCTGAAATTCCAACCAGTCTGTAGCCTGAAGATCTATGGAATAAGGCAGTGGAAGTGTCCCAACTGATCAGAGCGTGGCAAGACCGGCTCGGCGCTCCGGAGGGGGGTGGGCCTGGGCAGCACTCGACTCAGTCGAGTGATGTTGTGGTGATCATCATCATCATCAGAAATTTATGAGGATGATTAGGGCATGATTCCATGATAGTGTTAGCATATTAACTAGGCCTAATATTTAACAATTACCAAGTTATGTTTTCTTTTTGTCAGAGCTAAGTTCATTCAGAAGTAAAGTAAAGTAAGATTTTTAGTCAACTGAAAAAAAAAATTGGATGCAGTTCCATGCTAAAAGTGTGCTGGAATGTGACTTTGATTGGCCTCCTTCAGTTTCAAAAGCCAGACTAACAACTACACTGAAACCAGACTCCTATTAAAAAATTCATTGGAAATTAAGTATCAAGCAGAATATTATCAGGCATTTTATGAATTTTGGTGTGCTGAAAAAAATAATAGGGTAAACGCGGTATATTCCGACATCGTGGGTAATTCTGTCACCTCTCTAGTTTTTCCTTTATATTAAGCTTTGTTTTAGTTCCATGCGTTTGTTGATGGTTGAAATGGTGATGTCATACATTTGCGCGTCGAACTACTGCCAAAACACTAGGTCTTGGCCATCTAGCGGAGCGCACGGCGCATTTTTTTACCAACGTAGTACGGCGCACCGCGCAGGTCGTTAAAATGACAAAATAAATTCCCACGCACCTGGCACATCTTCCTGACCATGGGCCTCCTTCAGTTTTAAAAGCCACACTAACAACTACACAGAAACCAGACTCTTAGTAAAAAATTCATTGAAAATTAAGTATCAAGCAGAATATTATCAAGCATTTTATGAATTTTGGTGTGCTGAAAAAAATAATAAAAACAGAAGGAACCTTTGATGATTTGTCAAAAAATACATAATTATATTTGAATGCACTAACATTACCTACATAAAATTCTATTTTTGCTTGACATAATTTTTAAACAAATTCAAAATCATAATTAGCTAAAGCTCATTAATTTATATCCATCAGTACATTCAAGATGCACTGATTATGACTGATACCTATACATTAAGCAAGTTCTAATCTAGATTCTAGATTAAGAACTTGTACAGTTGTAGGCCTACTCTAAAAACTTTATATTTTTATGACTTTAGCTCTAGATTAATAATATAAAGTGTTTTTAGATTTAAAGTGATAGATAAATTCAACTTATGACAATTGACAAGTCTAATTTAATTATCATATAGTTCAAGACTTAGTTTTGACCAACCAAATTGACCAAGGTAATAAGTTGACAAATTTATAATAAACTCAAATTAAAACCAAATGGTGTGGGGACTGGGGAAGAAAATGCCAACAATTCAAAATACTTTTAAGTTTTAACTAAAATCAAGATGATCTATTGCCTATTCAGGCTATTGGTGTTCATTATTCAACAGTGTTTTCAATACTAACACTAACTTGCTTAAGAAACGATAAATGTTTGTATAAACACAACACAAATTTCAAGTTAGGCTACACTCACACAACTGAATCAGTGAATCATGAATGTACTGTACCTAGCAGTAACGGTACATCTCAATAATTTTATTTGGTAAATAATGAAATCAAGAAATCTAGCAAGTTTAATCAATGTTGAATAGAGAATGACTTGCTCTTGATAATTGATATACAAGTGTGATCCATTGTCCAAGAGGCCCTTATTGTTGAAGTTGTTCATCTCCGCCTTTTGAAAAANTTTGTTATAATCTCTATCGACAGAAAAAATTTAAGTCACATATTTAACTCTATCTGACGTACAAATTACCTATTGTCCAATGAATTACGTAGCGTGACGCGACGCTTTATAGATAATTCCGCGCTTTGGCGCATTTATGGAACATCTCCCTGGTCGAATTTTTTTTCAACCTGTTTCTCTTGTCTCTTTCGTGTTATACAGTAAAATGGACCATTTTCATGATGTGGCCTACCATTATTTTAGGCATCATAAAAATAATTTTGTTATTATTCAGAGATGTCTATATATCTGTTTTTTATCTGTCAACAATAGAATTCGTAGTAAGGTACCGGTAGTTGAAGAACCATCAATCATATAGACGGCGATAAAAAGATTTGTTATTATTTACAAAGAAATTTAATTCCATTAGAGATTTTTCAATGAATTGAGCGCGTCTTGAACCTCATAAATTTATTCGGATATAGGGCTTAGCTATTTGAAGTATGATCAAAGTTCAAGTGAAACTACTGTATCGACCAGCGTTGCAGCTAATATGTAACAAGAACCAAGCTACTATAATATAAAATTGCGGTTTCAGCATTTATTAGGCTGTAATCCTGTCGCCCATTCTTAACTACGCTGATTATTCACAGCTTGCTGCGGTCACGAACACGCAACTCAATGCTCCAATTTTGCTGTGCTGATTAACCGCCCGGTCTCGAAACCGCTGGGCCACCAAGATCACTGAACTTTAACCACTGGCCCATGACTATTACCATGACTAGGTAAGACAGCAGCGTGTTTCCTGCTCGGACAACAGAACCGGCCACATTAAGAATGAAACAACGTCACCCTCTGATTTTAAACATCAGTAAAATCGTGTGTGTGCCCAAAATAGACCGTGTGCGCAATAGTGTGTGTGCGCAAAATAGCCCGAAAATTACCATAGAAGAAGAAATGTTATCAACATCGATCTGAGTGGTGGAATTGAAACTAAGAACCGACTTTATACAGAGGAAACCGTGTTGTTATTAACCGTTTAGCTCAATGTCATTAAACCTTCATGTCAATGTCATTAACGAATAATTAACCGTTTCGCCCAATGTTAATTAACCGTTTCGCTCAATGTCATCATCTTCAAGCTGTTTAGCGAATCAGACGTAGGTTCTAATTCTTACTTATCATGCTTTCTGCAAGCGTGCAAGCTCACATTGCGCCCACATTCTTTAATTAATTTAGCGTGTGTAATGAATAATTTTGTACACTAAGTATCGAATGCCACGCACAGTAGCGGCAGATTGCTGAATAAACAATTACCAGTCCGACAATATTCCAGTATTATACACAGCCAAACTTACCTACTTCTCTTGATCATAGATTTCGACGCTATTTATTCTTAGGCCACGTTTTGCCATTGTATCTATGTTATTACTCGTTGAAATATGGTAGCTCATTAAAATAACTTCGTCTTCATGAAACGTCGGGTTAGCCTAACACATAAACATAAATTATTAAAAACTAATTTGTTCTAATAGATCGAGTTGATGTATACCAGTAATATGAACAAACAAATTTCCAGTATAATACGCTTTTCACGACAGCACTATCCACAGCCAAGCTTTGCAGCGATTACACGCCTTTCCTTCTGAATTATCAACACATAACTTAGAAGGGTTCCAGTTTCGGTATCAGCATCAATTGAAACTATTAATAATAGGTGAGTTATCAAATTTTCGGATCACGCCGATATTTCTTGGAGTTAGGCAAATTTAAAATACAGCAAAGGAGATGAAAAATTTTCTGGTTATAAGTTTTATTATATTAAAATATTCTGTACACTATCATCTTCGTTTCTTGGCTGGTCTTTTCATGGGCATTTCTATGGGGAAGAAGACATTACAAGTGGAGCAAAGTGGCACCGTTTTGCAGTATACGGAGAGGCAGTTGGAGCAAACGTTGGCCATGTTGACGAGTGCGCGGTGACAAAAGCAGGCTGCTCTGTAGTCGACGGTGTCGGGGGGCGGTAATGCCACCACACCCCCACTCCTGCCTCCCTTGCCACTACCCCCGCCCCAACTCCCCAAGCTGAACAGCACCACGAGCGTCTGCAGCAGTGACTGCGGCTGGAAAGACACAAACATCAATATCGTCACTAGTCAGTACCAAGATGTTGGTGTCAATCAATACTAGCAAATATGGTTGAGGTGACACGTTTGTTTCGTCCTAGTAGAGACAGCCATCACAGAGAGCACAAACAGCATCTAACGATGATCAGCTAGGAAGTACATAATTTTCATTCGTGTAGAACTATGATGAAATGATGAGTAAGTGAATCATTTCAATCATAGTCTCGTAATAATTTAAAATAAAAAATAACTAGAGACTTATATTGGTCAAACGCATATAACCCGCCACATGCCACACGAGATGCGGACCTCGGTGAGTTTGTGGTAGTAGCCGCCGGTGATGTCGGCGCCCTGCTGCAGCAGTCCGCAGTCCGTCATGAGGCAGCACACGTCTACCGGCACGCCAAGCTTCTGCGCCGTCAGGTACACGTTTATGTAGTTCAGGTACTGGCCCACGCTCTCGCCTGGGGGAACCACAACTACAATTGCTTACAAGAAAACTTTATTGGGAAAACAAACAAGGCATTAAGACCTTAATAAAGTATTTCAGGAAGCGTATCAGAAGAGCATAATAATAGAAAAGCAAATAATTTGAATAGATAAGGTCGTTCTTAATAAGCATCGTTTCAATTTCGATCTTGATGATTTGGATAGGTCATGGCCTGCCTGTTCTCTTTTAAATGGCTTTTAACCAGGAAAAATAAAAAACTAATGATAAAATAATATAATTACACGAATTTCTGCAAATAAAGGTGAAGGCATTGCGGCTCTAGAGCAACGGTAAATGTTTCCTCAACGAAATGATGAGCTTTAGCAGCGCACCTGCCACTTTGAGGACGAGCATCCTGGCGGTGTTGGAAGCTGCCTTCGAGGAGCCGATGTGGCGACGCAGGAAGAGCAGAGCGCGGCCCATGGCTCCTGACAGCAGCGAGTCTGTACGTGGGATCACACTTGCTCATGTTGTGGTCCATTATTAGATCATCTTACGATCAGAACTTTTGTGCTAGGATTTTGAAGAAGAATATATAAATGAAGTTATTAAGGACATATAGACTGGAAACTTGTGGACAACTTGAAACAACTTACCGGTATCCATCAAAGATGAGAGTTTTCAGATTCAACCTAAATGCAAGAATTATCTGTAAAAATCTTCATTATTTTCATTTGAATTCACATATTTTTGGATAATGGTAGTGGCGAGCATAATATCATAACTGTTATTATTGAATTAAATATTAATCACCATCTCCACAAAAAGCAATGTCACACATAGTAATGTTTTTCAATGCAGTATTCATAAGATGATCTGACCAGGAGGTTGTGCTGCTGAAGAACATCCATTGGCCTGACCATTAACAGGGTTATGCTGGTGCAGCATGAGCTCCTTAAGGCGCTTCTCAACACATTCGTCCAGGCACTGAAGCTGCTCCAGACGTCCATCTTTCTGACGCACTCGCTGCACAAGTCAAATAATGGCATGAATAAAATTATTGCAATTCTCAGGGGCCTTTTCTAATTCTTGCTGCTGTCAAACTGAATTAAAATGTATGACTTGCAGAGGCTGTGAACTTTTGCAAATCAAAGTAGTCATTGAGAATTCGTTCAATTGCCATTCATTGAAATATCCACCATATTTTTGTAGGATTTTGTAGGAGCATAAAATTCAGTACAACACAATGAGATGCAATTGATAAGCAATATTGATTAATCAAAATAGTTATATATAGGTAGATATCATACGGCTTTGCACACTTGAGATAATGGACAAATAGAGTAATTTTACAAAAGGTTCAAGATACCATTAAAACAGTGAGCTAATAAGAAACAAATAATAAAGTCTTGGTGCTGAAACAGAGTTTTTGTTGTAGTTTTCAATGCAGGTTTTCTCTCAAATAATGTACTTAAAATAAGTAAAAATTGTATTACAAATGTGCCATGAAGGTTGGAGAAAACAAGCAGTTTAATTCCATTCATGTTTACCTGATCATCAGGGTAGAGGGGTGGGTAGAGAAACTCTGTAGTTGTGTGGGTTGCTGCTACAATGCAGAGCTTCCTGTTGACAGATGCTCCCAGATGTAGGTTAGCAAAGGCTAATACAGAGTTAAGGTAGTGATGAGGCCCGCACTCCAGCAGCATCAGGTGCGGAGGAATGTCAACTACAATAGCCAATAAATTGGCAGGACCTTCCAAATTTGAACTATTCAGTGACATTTTTTATGATTGCCTCCAGCCAAGTCATAGTTAATTAACCAATTCTGAAAATCAACATTCACGGTCACATTTAAAATATAGTAAACATTTGGGACTTATTAATTTAAGAGCACAAATTAAAATTCTGAAAGAAAAACTTGCACATGTAACTATCATGCCTGGCTATGCTACTCAAAGGGGGAAGATGTTTTGATTGAGTAGGTTAGAAATTCACAATTTTTGTGGCACACAAAAAGTGGGATGAGAAAAATGGGCCAATAGGCATACAAAAAACTGGAGGAATTTTAATTTCTTGTCACCTGTTGAACATTTTTCTCTAATTGCACTAGAGATCAGGTTAGAAACTGCACACCATGGGCATGACAGGTGGTGTTATGGCGGTTTGGAGGGATGACCGGGAGAGGCAGGAGATGGACAAACGACGGAAGAGGAGCCAGAAAGGCTGCAAACTGGACTGTACCACAGTGAGGAGACAGAGCAGTCTGTTGGGAATGGCAGGCAGAAGACGTGCTGTGTGAAGTGTCGGAAATCGCTACAATTTTAGCAGGCCGCCCTCAAGAAGCGTCCTACCATAAAAGAGTAGGGAGCCAGGTGTCAGCAAAAGCTAAACTGCAGCTGACACAGAGCAGAGCATTAGGGGCTTCCTCAGAAGCCTTGGGACAGGAAGGGATGAGCCAAGGAGGAGCCCACGTCAGGGAGGAGCCCACGTCAGGGAGGAGCCCACGTCAGGGAGGAGACCCTGTCTCTTATACACATCTAGATGTGTATAAGAGACAGGTCCTACCCGTGGCCGAACACCTCTCTCTACTCTGCTCGCAGTTCCTGGCCAGTGCTCTACGTCCACACCACCCCAGCTACCCTATTGTCACCCAGACATCAGGGCCCCGCTCCATGAAGCACACGCTTCAGTCCCGCTTCCTCCCTTCCGTCTCTCACCTGCTGGTAGAGGGATCCCTCCCCCCCCCCGACTCCTACTCCGCTGCCCTCAGCACCCTGCACAGCTCCGCTGTCTCATCCTTCCTGGCCTCAGCAGCTCGCAACAAGGTGCTGCTGACCCCTGCCCCCACTGTCTTGTCCAGCGAGCTTTCCCTCCCCAGGGGGGCCAGAAGCGCCCTTTCCCAACTCCGCTCTGGCTACTCATCGCGGCTCAACTTGTACCTTGCCCGCATTGGCGCAGCCAACAACCCACTCTGCCCTGAGTGCAGCGCTATAGACCACACCACCCATCACCTCTTCAACTGCCCTTTGCATCCCACCTCGCTGACCCCGCTGGACCTCTGGTCTAACCCTGGGCTGACTGCGGCTTTCCTCTCGTCGCTCCCATCCTTCGCCGACATCCTTGGAGTGGAACATCCGCTCCCCCCTCCTCCCCCGGAGCCGCCGCCTCTTCGTGGGCGAAGCCGAGCAGCGGTCCCGGGCAATTAACAACAACAGGAGACCACGTCAGGGAGGAGGCCATGTCAGGGAGGAGACCACATCAGTAAAGAGACCAATTTACAGCATAGTTATATTTATATGCCATTCAAATTCTACAAGTTAGAGTTTTGACTAGTAGCATAGTTGTTGTTTTTTTTATAAGCATCAAGTTGAGAGCCATATATAGTACCAAAATAGAAAGTGGGCAAAAGTAACCTGTCAATGATACAAAAACTCCTAATAACAATTTTGCCTGCCTAGTAACCCTTGCTTAGTTTCTTGATTTGAAAATTTTTACATTTTAGACAGTAATTTCTGAAAATCATCAAGGAAATGTTCGTTTCTCCCATAATTTTTGTAAAAAATTTGCACGATATTCCAAAGAGGAGTACCGTATATATCTGCTCAATTGCTCAGTGGTGAGTGCTGAATAGCAACTCAATCTAGAATGTTGGGAAAAAAATTCTAAAAAATGAGGTACAAAATATTTTCATACAAAGCAAGCAAAAATTTGGCATTTTTCTTAATTTTCACCAAAGAAATTATTCATTGGCTGTAGGAACTAGGAAGTAGGAATGGCTATAGGAAGTAGGACCAGGTAAAATTTACCTTGAGCACACGTGTTTCTGTCTTATTCACAGGTGGGCACTTGCTTTTGCTATATTTTCTATTTAGGTTTTGAGCCTTTGGGCCAACTCTTTGCTCATCTGTCAGTAACTCAGTGTCACTCAGTCACTGACACTCTGACAGCAGATAAATTGTCTCTTATGTCATAATTATTTGAATTACACAATTGAGCAATGAGATTTACAATAGTATTCTTATTGGAATTGTCTCTTATGTCATAGTTATTTGAATTACACAATTGAGCTATGAGATTTCCAATATTCTTAATTAAATTTGATAAATAATTGTAAAATTATCAAATTTTAAAGAAAATCCAAATTTTTGGGTAATGTATGGCCATACCAACTGGCACCATTGTGACCCATAACCATTGTGACCCACAACAGTATGGCCAACGGGCTACCCACAACTTGGGAGCACAGGGGATAGGGGTTGTTGTTGTAATTGCCCATCCTGGTAGTGGTGACAAGGGAGGGGGGTGGGTGATAGGCCAGTTTTTTGTGCACTTAATGCCACTGGTAGTTCTACGACCATCACTGACTTGTTGACCCGCCAGAACCATTTTTGCTTTACACAACGCACTAGACAAGCCAGGTTCTCATTTATCAACCAGAATTGGGTGAATGGCTGAGGTGACCATGAGCTGAGCTTCCTGGAAAACTTGTCCTCAGTGGGACTCAAACTCGGGTGCTGGGTGCAAGAGAATGAGTCTCTCACCCCTGCACCACCACAGCTCAAGAAATCGGAGTTACTCAGGTTAGGGCAAATTGCAAACAGCAAATAGAATCTACAAAAGAGCAAACAATTTTATCCCTTGCGTAGGTAGAGTTTGAGAGAGCTGTGAGTGAGCGAACTGCTGAAAAGGAGTAAAACAATCAACTTGAATCAAGTACAGGGAAATGTTGGTTTATGTAGCTTAACTGTAAGTGCCTAAGAAGTGTCGCTAAGAATAACTATAGTACCTTCAAACTTGGTAATAAAGGACATTTTTGAGCGTTTTTTTCAATTACTTCTTACCATGAAACATTTCATAAATTAGTTTAGGCTCATTATGAAGATTTCTGTGGAGGCTATTGTATGGTATCCCCCAAAAAAATTAAATATCCTATTTGTGAGGTGCCAGAGGCAAAAGAAAAGCATTCCAAATTACCCCTGAGAACAAGGTATTTCAGGATACTTGATATAAAACTTAATTAAAACGTTTTTTAACACGTTTTTCTTAGCTTAGCTTCGCGTTTGTTTGTTTATTTGTTTGTTTGTTTGTTTGTTGTTAACATTGACAACAAAAATTAGCCCACTTCTGATTGTTCTAGAGATCTAAAATTCGGCATGCAGGCTATTTTTGCCTAACAATTTCAGATACAATCATAAAAACTAGCAATTAGAGACCGAAATTAGTTTAATTGAGTAAAGTATATATATAGTATGACGTGCGGGCGCTCACGTTATAGGCGAGCAGGCGCTAACGCTGCGTATCATCGATACGTACGTCAAGTCATGCTTTTTAGTCCGTGCAGCACGGACTAAAAAGGAGAAAATAAAATACTTAAAAATACTTTTTTTAAAAAACACGTTTTTCTTGTAGACTAAAAAGTAGAAAATAAATTTTGGCTCGCCCCAAAAAATGTGTGTCGGGCAGATTTATGATTAAAGCGAAAAGCACACAACACACGAATTTTGGAAATTTGATGTTGAACATACAGCCTGACCCACGTTTTTTGGGGCAAGCCAAAATTTATTTTCTACTTTTTAGTCTACAAGAAAACCGTGTTTTTTAAAAAAAGTATTTTTCATCATAAAAATCATAAAATCATAGTATACGTTACTACGGTTAATTAGGTACTCTTCATTCTATGTTGCCCAGTGCACAATTCTATTTCTAGCTAGCATATGACATTACATGCACAATTTTGTGATGACCAATGATGCATAAATTTTTCATTATGTAAATTTTTTTTGACAACCTAGGTAAAATGGTAAATGTAATAAAAATTCTTTATTGCTAATCAATTTTTTTGTTAACTGTAGCCATTGCTAACCAAGGTAACAAGGTTCTACTCACTCTACTGTAAATGCATTTTTATGGCTATGGGTATCCATTTAACTCCATGTCATGATGTCCATAAAAACCTAGGTATAATAAATATCCCTCAGGCCTCATTGTAAGAGACACCCCGCCCCCATGGCCCTGGGGGGGGGCGGCCCCTGGGTGTATCTTAAACCTGTCTTGCAAGTTGCGGGAATGCCAACCCTTTTGTTTTGGATTGAGGTAAAAAAAATTAGGTAAATGAAATTTTAAAGCCAGCAACAATCTGCAACATATAGGAAAATAGTTGCAATTTACGCCACTATTTTTAGTTTTGCAATATTTCAATTCAATTTGCTGCTATAACATTTTTAAGCGGTGTCGGAGGACTGTCCCAATTTACTCCGCTTCAGCTGAGGGCGCTGAAGCATAGTGGCAAAGCAGAGAGTTCTTTAGACTCTCCCTCAAGTTCATTTTTGAGTCCTATATGTAGACCATTAAAGTATCATGGATACTAGCATTATCATACTTAAGAAATAGGTTTAAATCATGAGTAAATGAGGAAATTAAAAATGAACTGATTCTAAATAAGCTCTGGTTTGCCACTATGCGCTGAAGTATTTTTTTTATAATTGGTTTTTAAGACTTGGGGTGTACGAAGCACCTCCCAGCCTGTTCCCTGTCAAAGAGAAAGAGCAGAGCGCAGAGCACCGAACTTGGTACTCTGCTAGTTAGAGTGCTGCCTCTGGCACCAAAATGCAGGTTTCCATGGGGCTGCAGCAGGTCTAACAGCAAGAAGTTTCTCATATCTGTAGACTGAATCTGAGAGTAAGTTAGTTAGAACAAGACATAAATCAATTGTTTATAGCTCCTTTGGTTTCACAGTGAATCCAGCATGCCAGACTGCAACAGAAATTGTGACAGGTTAGAAAATACACAAGGGCGCTTTGCTGCAGGGATCTCAGCTCCCAAGACTGTGCTTAGTCTCCAAGGTACTCCAATGTCTGCCAGTGCGGCAGTAAAGGCTGTTCTCTGCACTGCAAATTTGGAACATGTTAGCAAAAAGTGTGAGATTGTATGGGTAACACTTAAAAGCTGAAGACGCCGAAGACCTTCCTCGGGGCATACCTACTGGATCCTGGGCCATCCCAAAACGAGCGCGGTGAGCACCAACGCCTGCATGACCAAGGCGCAGTCGTGTTACAGCACATTGTATTTTCCTACTGAGACCACCATAATCAGTATAATTAATTGAGTCCTCGGGCGCTGAAGTGCCTGAAGAAGCTGAGTGCGAAACATATGGCGAACAATGGATCGTTCGAATGGGGCGGATAATCTGGCAATTCCGTAATTTTACAATCTGTCGCCCCACTAGAATATCACTATATATAACTGGTGCCAATAGAAACATAACCTTTAATATTATATTGAATCGAGAAATTTCAACCATAGCGTTTGAGATTGATATACACGTTTTCTTTTTAAACATGTTCCAAGATATTATCTCATTC